CAGCATCTCTTTACTCACGTGCCCTTCTGACACGCGGGGGGGGCACCTAGCTTTTGCTGGCTTCAGACAACTCCAGGAGAGCAATGTGCTCTTCCTGGGCTCTCCGGCTGCGGAGCTGTTCTGCGAGCTGTGACGGATGGTGAAAGCAGGGCAGCCACAGGGCTTGCGGCATGTGTTGCCCACGTGGCCCAGCTCCCTTGAACGCCCCTGCAACCTCTAAAGGGGGCTTGGGCTAGGGCCTAGCCTTGCAAGCACTGCAAATGGCACAAGAACAGCCCCTCTGGGACCGCCAAAGTCCGTCTAGCCGGTTTCCTGTCTCCAAAGCGGAGTGAAGAGGGCACGCAGGTAGCAACGCTTTTCCAGCCCCTCTCCTATCTGTGACAGTTTGCAGCTCTGGGAGTCTGCTTCGAACATGCAACCTGCTGATTTCATGTGATGCAGCCCAGGGAGTGCGGGCTGGTCCAGCGCTGCTCTGCTTTCACCACCCCACAACCCGGCCCTCAGCCCTGCGGTGGGGCTGTGGGGTCAACCTACGGCACCGGGACTTAGCCGCTCTCGGCCTCGTCGCACCTTGCCCGGGTGGTGCTGCCGGATGTCACGCGATGGCACTTGTGCCACCAATCCCTTGGGATGACCATGGCCAAGGCAGATGCTTCACAGGGCTGCAGATGATTCGGCTTGAGCAGTAATCGCTCCCCAAAAGGGTTTCCCAAACTGTCCTCACAAAGCCATATGTGGGGCTCCACACAGAAATGCATTTCTCAAGGAGACACTTGGGTGTCACGAGAGAGCTGCTCTGACCTGCTGAAAGACAGCCGCAGGGGGAAAACACCGAGCAGAGCGCAAGAAACGCTGAGTAAATTCTTGCCTCTGCCACAGCTTTTTGGTATGACCTTGGGCACGTCCCCGAACCCCTCCAGGCCGCTCCGTAAGCCATCTCCTCCCATTGTTTTCAGCAGCAGTTAAGCAACGCGATGCCAATAGAAATCCGGCTTTCATTTTCCATTGGGCACAAACGGAGGATCACGGCACCGCCAAGGCATTTTTTTTGGCCTCTTTCAGCCCATAGTCCTTTGCTGCCAGACCTGCTCCCACCCTCCGTAGCCCTGTGGGTGCTACTGGAGCAGAGACAGCCAAAAAGCCCTGGCAGTGGAGTCAGCCTCTGCGCTAAA